CTGGTGAGGCCGCACCTCGAATACTGTGTTCAGTTTTGGGCCCCTCACTGCAAGAAGGACATTAGGTGCTGGGGTGTGTCCAGAGAAGGGCAACAAAGCTGGTGAAGAGCCTAGAGCACAAGTCTTACGAGGAGCGGCTGAGGGAACTGGGGTTGTTTAGCCTGGAGAAAAGGAGGCTCAGGGGAGACCTTATCACTCTCTACAACTACCTGAAAGGAGGTTGTGGCGAGGTGGGTGTCAGTCTCCTCTCCCAAGTAACAAGCAATAGGACAGGAGGAGATGGCCTCCAGTTGCACCAGGGGAGGTTTAGATTGGACGTGAGGAAAAATTTCTTTACTGAAAGTGTTATCAAGCATTGGAACAGGCTGCCCAGGGAAGTGGTTGAGTCACCATCCCTAGAGGTATTTAAAAGACATGTAGATGTGGTGCTTAGGGACATGGTTTAGTGGTGGAATTGGCAGTTTACGGTTGGACTTGATGATCTTAAAGTTCCTTTCCAACCTAAATGATTCTATGATTCTATGCTATCAGAAGCACTGGAACTACTTATTAGTGTTTGCTGAAATCTGCTGCTTCCTGCTCATTGCATCTTTTTTGCACATGATGTGGAGCAGTTCTAAGTGGCATACACTTCAGACCTGAGAACTTTGACATTTTAGAGTTGTTACATTTCATAAGAATAGAATCTTTTCAGAGGAATCTCTCATTGATGTGCCAATTTTTAGAATAAATTAAACTATTTTTACAGAATAAGATGATTTGTCTTCAGAGAGTACTGCTTTGAAGAGTATTCTTCAGCAAGAGGAGGTAGGTTAATCTTTGTGCAGGGGTGCCAAGGAGAATATGGAGGGAGATCTGATTTGAAAAGACAAACTTCTAGTTCCAGGTACATATCTAAATTTAGAAAAACTGTCACCAGCACTGTGCTTAGAGAAAAGAAAAAGAAAAAAGTACCCAAGAAATTTCTTGTGCCTGTCTAGTCACATTTCCATGGTAGTGACCAAAACCACTGAACTCCTCAGTTTGGAATCCAACTTTATAGCAAATGTGCTGCACCTTGAAAGCTGAAATGAGTATTGTCTTCAACAGAGAAGAGTAAAAAGAAAAAAGAAAAAAAAAAAAAGAATCCCCAACTCTTTGGACAAAATAAAAGAGCCCCCAACTCTTTGGACAAAATAGCAATCATATTACTGACATTTTACACTGAAACTCAGTGTACAGTTATAAATGCTTGGAGTATTCACTTGCAGGGTGTCTCAGTTTTTTGTAGCTTGGTATCATGGATGTATGGATAAACTTGAAGCTGCCAACTAGCTAGTTAATGATCAACTAGTTATTCAGCAACACCAGCAAAAGTTGTATGTCTGCGGTTTTTAAAACTTCTGCATGTTTTTTTGAAGAGGTGTAATTGTGTATGCTGGATCACAAGACCCATACAGAATTGGATTGTGCTATGGAACTATGTTGCACAGCTGTGAAATACTGGTGATAACTGGCTACTCTTAGTCCAAATAAATGTGAAAATATGCTTAGACTAATTCTTTAACAAGTTTACAATTTGAAGGAAAATACATGGTTTTGTATTCATTTTGGACTTAAAGACAACAATCTTAAAAAAAAATGCTTTTCTTGACTGAATGCCTTAAGAGAAATACACATCACACTAAAAATATATGTTGTTGTGAGATACAACATTAAGTTATGCTGAAAGAAATCCCGTTGTAAGCACCATGAAAACAAACCTTCATGTTTAAAGATCTCACAGGCTTCTGAAGGATGAGTGCTCAAAAGAACTCCATACTCAATAGTTACATGCAAATGTTCTGAGAACTAGTTTTTTATGATACAAAGAAGATAACCAGTTGCACAGGGTTTCACCTGAATTCTGTAGAATACTTTAATACAGTCTGTCCAGGATGCCTTAAATAAACAATTACTTCCTAGCTTTCATGCTGATAGTTCTGTATCTCTGCTAAACTTCTCTGTGTGAGATTGGTAAGAATTCCTTATAACTGTTCTGTTCTGTTCTGTTCTGTTCAAGCATGTCAGACTCATCAGAACTGCATACGTGAACTAGTTGGCTGTATCTAATTTTGTCATTAGCCTGGTAAAATCAGAAGTAGTTCTCTTGTGCTAACATAAACTAAGGCTTGAATGAGTTGTTTTATCAGCTCAATTGTTGGGCTGGAAGGGCCTATTCCTGATTAATTCAATTGCTGTGTTGGGTCTTCATTTCTATTAAGTATGCCCAATTTCTGTAAAAAGAAATACCTTAAGATGTGATTCATGAACAGAACCAAAGTTGCTTTAGATGATAAATGCATTTTGCTTTCCTCATCTGTATTTTCTCCATTTCATTTTATTGGAAAGAAGTGGAGATAGGAGGATATCATACAGACAGTGCCTTCGTTTCCAACTTGATTCTTCAGTGTATTATTAGGCAAGACAGCTGTTCAAGAATTCCAAACATCTGTCTTCTGTAGGAATCCGAATTTGCTCAACATAAGGGCCGTGCTGAAATCTAACATCTTCCAACAATCTACAGTGAATGTAAGCTTTACTCTGAATGAATACTCTTAATTTATAAGGTGAATCCTCATTTCTAAGTTGTAAATGAAGTCTTACAAAGAGTAGCAACAGAGAAGCAGCGTTTGACACTAAGATGAGAATCAAAAATGTGTTGTAAATAGTAATTTGCATTTGTTCTGATAAAACTGCCCCATTAAGCAATCAAATGCCTTTTGTGAAATGTGTGAAAATGTCCAGCAAGGAACAGACAGCAATATCATCACTGAAAAAGAAATACATTAATATTCTCAGGCAAGAACAGCCTATTGCACACTGATCTGCAAGTGGGTTTTATCTACTATCAAGAAGTAGAATATGATGATCAAAATACCATACCAAATAAAAACGGCTGCAACCAAGTTCGATAAACTAGTGCATGCATATGTCCAACAACTTCTGTGAAGGAGAAACATAACAGGTTGCTAATAGAGGAGGAAAAGAATACGTTGTCCAGATGGAGATCAGTGACAAGTGGTGTCCCTCAGGGGTCCGTATTGCGTACTGGGACCAGTGCTGTTTAATATCTTCATCAGTGACATAAACAGTGGGCTTGAGTACACCCTCAGCAAGTTTGCAGATGACACCAAGCTGAGTGGTGTGGTTGACACACCTGAGGGAGGGGATGCCATCCAGAGGGACCAAGACAAGCTCGAGGAGTGGGCCTGTGAACCTCAACAAGGCCAAGTGCAAGGTCCTGCACCTGGGTTGGGGCAACCCCCGGTACCAATACAGGCTGGGGGATGAAGGGATTGAGAGCAGCCCAGCCGAGAAGGAC